GAAAGTGCTAGAAACAATTCGGGCTTTGTGTCAAGAGTTGAACTAATGCCAAATAATTTCATCGAAACAGTGCGGTTATTCCTAAAAAGTAGGAACTGTAAAATGTCCACGTCAGGAAATGTTGCAAAATATGCTTTATGTTCGTAGATGAGCAACTTTGCCTTTTTTTGATTTACAGTGGTGAATTTAGCAACAGCATTTCAGCTCACCTTTTATGTAAAGTGATTGCAGGAAACATTGCAGCTAACAGTTGTTGTTGTTGTTGTTGTTTGTTTTTTTGTTTTTTTAGAATACTGTATCAAACCTTCATTGTGTTACTGCTGATGTAGACCGAGCTTCCTCTTTATATATAAACCGGTCGCAGAGCACTGACTGTGACAATTCATCCAATTTGAGTTTACAAAACAAGACGTGGTCCTTTTTTTATTTTTGTTGTTTTTGTTTTGTTTTATTCTAGCAGATCAGTTTTGAAGTTTGTAGAGGATGAATGGAAGCACCACTGTTTTAGTCAGCTGAAGGACAAAATCGCACTACTATCTTTGAAAACAACATGATCAAGATAAAATGACGCCGCTGGTTTCCATTCCAGGGATTCTCTTTTTTGTCATAAATCAAGGACACACCTTTCCAAGAAAGCAGTGACTTCCCCTCCTTAAAAGCCAAACTCATCCCTTTCTTAAACCGCGGTTTATGATTATTAAGACCTATTTTAAATTGTAAATTATGTTTGATTACATAATTTGTGCTGTTTCCAAAGTCGATGAATAATCATGTTTTAATAATATTAGTGTTGACCCCAAAATTGGATTTATGCATTTGGTCATAATTGAGTAAACCCAAATCAAATCAATGTCTTGGGTAAAGAGTGTAAAAGTACTCAGCATTATTTACAGCATTTCAGGCCCCTTATGTTCATGACTTGCTGAATAAAGGCTGTGTTGTTTGAGGGCTTGGCTCCACTTTACACACATGCAGCAGTTGCTCCTCTATTAGTATTTCATAAAAAAGTTGGTGGCATGTTTGCTGTAGTGTTAAACTGCAGTTGCCTTTACCATCAGTTACCATGGGGAGAGCAGGGCTTTAATCGTGAACATCACAACTTCAAGGAAAGAAAGCGCACACCTAAAATATTGTGAATTATAAACACAGTTGAAAGCAGAAGGAAAGTGAGGTTTGTGTTGTTGTTTAATATTGACATCAGTGCATAGATGATACTGCAAAACTGCACAGATGGAAAATTGTGCCATTTTCTGGGTAAAACCTCATTGCTGCTTTTCAGAGTTAACGTGTGTGTATGTGTGGGTGGGTTTGGTGTGCATGTGTGAATTTGTAAATGCAGGTCTACGGCAGCGTGTGTGTGTGTGTGTGTGTGTGTACAGCTTGTGCAGTGTTTTTGAATCAAAAGCGCATTCACTGCAAACCCACACATAACTGTTTGCACATGTTGGTGATCATACGGCAAAGAGGTGCAGGGACTCTAAGCACACGTGCACACACACGTTTAAATGCGAGCGTTAATAAAAACGGTGTCTAATAAGGCAGAGTGGGGAGGAATCCACGTACACAGTGTTATCACAGTGAGAGAATAAAGGCACAGTGCATTACTTCTGTATGTGTTTGCATGCACGCCTTTGCGATAGATTGGAAAGCTGCATTTGGTATTGATTTAAAATGGTGTGTGTGTGTGTGTGGCTGCTGACGGACTGCAGTTTTAATGTACTGATTTAGATGCAGGGGAAACTCGGCAAGCACAGCATGTCTCTTGGATTCCCACAGGACTAATACAGAAACACACACGTTCATTCCCTCCCCCCTCCTGCCCGTATACAGGCAGCACCCTTTCCCCTACACACATGGTTAGTTTTATCAGGGTAATGGCCGTGGAGTGTGTTCAGTAATGGTTCAGGAGGGGGGGGGATCTGGGGGTCCTCGGCTAAACATGAAACCTTTTCCAGCTCTTCAGAAGGTTGCGCTTGGAAGAAGCTGTAATGGTTCAAAGTTTGCCGGTGGACAGATTGCACATGTGATGAGGGTGGAGTCTAAGAAAAACGATCGATAACCGTATCGTGTTAAGATATGAAGTGATTTACGGGGATTCGCACTCTCCATGGAACTGGATGCAGTGGTGTGTAGTGGTTGAATATTACTTATATTGAGGTTTTATTAATAACACCTTTATAAATGTATGGGGAAAACTCTAAACATAAACTGTTATATATTATATTATGCAGCAGGCATTTTTCTGATAAACGCTCCTGTGACCTCTTGATTTATGTCAGAGTCTAATGCACAGTGGCCAGTGCAGGAATAATCTGATCAGCTAAAAAGTCATCTTCAGCTATTTTTATTATGTTATGTCTCATAGTGAAGCGAAGATTTAAAAAAAACAAAGGTACACATTATCAGTTTGATTCTTTCCAACGTTAGATTTTGCTGCCTTATCTTTGTAAAGTGAAGCGCATTCAGTTTTGTGATGACACAAAATGTGACTTGTTACCAGGAACGGTACATCGGGTGCAAAGCTACAGCAAATTTAAAAGAAAATACGGCAAGAAAAACTGAATATGTGCGCTTTTTTTCTTCTTCTATATTTGTGTTTCTGAAAACACATTTCAGGTTTCAGTAATCGTCAGCATATTTCTAAAAATATTTCACTGTTGTTATGTGTCGTTGTTGTGATTAACAGGTTGAGCTCAAGCTGTAACAAACATTTAAGGTGTTGGGTATTTTTGCAGTGTGTGTGTAATTTATATTACATATACATCTTTGGCCTAATGCTGAAATACATTTGCTTTTAATTATATTTTTTAAATAATGGAAAACATTTTGTCTGTGAGTTGTTTAAAAGGTTGAGTACATTTTTACTTGGTCAGATTTGTCTCATAAAAGCTGTCAGCATGTAATCCAGAGCTCTATCTGACAGACAGTTGAGTTTGAGGTAAATCCCTGTCCCACCCTGAACAGAGACACACTCCTCCTCGTGCCCCACATGGCTGCATTCCTCTTGTGACGATTGTGGCTTTCGGTTGGTGGTTACATTAACTTCCCTCCTTTCTGAGTGAAGTCTGTCTGTGGTCTGTCTTGTTGAAATGGAGTGCATGGCTGCTCAGTAATAATGTGATTACAGCAGACTGCTCGGGCACAGTAGCATCAGCACATATTGATTTAGCTCCCCTCGCCCAAAAACACACAGAGGAAGGAATGACATCACGTACAGAATAAAAAACATTGACTGTTTGTGTTGTTTGGCCTCGCGGTTACAAGGGTGACTGACAGTCTTCATTCTTTTTCCTATAGGCGATGCCTTCCCGGCAGGCTCCAGCCCCTTCCTGTCAGGCTATCCCGGCCCCTCCTCTCTGACCTCTGACCCTGCATACAGATCCGCAAATCCCAGCAGTCTGCAGATGGCTCAGCTGTGGGCATCGCATGCTCATGATGGTAAATCACCTACATTTGCATTTCTGTTTCTATCCTCCTTTTCTGTCCCAGTACATAATTCAAAGGCAGAGTGGCATCATATTTTCATGGCATTTTTCACAATCCTGTCCTGACCAATGCCCAGGAGGCCTGTTCCTCATTGCTTACTCCGCTGGGATCCCGTTCCATTTCTGTCTCACGGCTGGTAGCTCTGCTGCTGGCTCTGTCCTGAATGTGCCTTGCTTCCTCTGTCCTCGACCAGTCCTTTACTTTCGCCTGTCATCTGTTTCTGTAATCGGTCTTCCTCTCTCTTGTTCTTTTTTGAGCCTTCTGTCCAGTACGCACTTTGTCTCTGTCGGCGTCTCTCTAGTTCTCCTGCCCTACTTTTCATACACCATCCTGCCCGAACACACTTTTAGACACACAGAGGATTGTCTCCTTGGACTCCTCGTTTCCTTAACTTGCCTGTGACTTTCCTCAAGGCTTGTTCATTAAGTGATTGAATCTCGGTCCCCTCCTCATTCCCTTGTGTCCTTTTGCAACTCCTTATCAAATCTCACTGGAGTAGGTCAGATAGGGTAGAAAACAAACCCCACAGTGCATTTCAGCAAGGTAAGAGAAGGACAAATGGATTTCATTTAAGATGCCTTTTAAAAGTGATTGCGTTGCCTTGTGTGACGCACGGCTTGCTCAGTGCTTTTCAAACATTGTAAATCAAATTATGTGGTTAGTTTATTTATTTTAAGACTTTGTCTTTGGTTCTCAGTTCAGGGACTGTTGGTCAGGCACTGACACGATTGTAGCTCATAATCTGACCTTAGCTTTTTGGAGACTCTGCTTGTTTCCTTCTAATGGTCAAGTGTCATTTCCTATCAAAAACAAATGGGGGAAAAAAAGCTGTTTTTACAGTAGACCTCTTGTGCTTTTCCTTTTTCCACATGCTATTACAGTAGTGGATGCTCACATTAAACATGGCCACAGTTTAAAATAATGAGGTTAGTGTATGTGCAAGTAATCCTTGTGGGTCAAAAGCTCAGGCTTTAGACTAAACACTGTATGATGTCAGTGAGAGTGGATATGAGAGCACTAAAATGGGTAGTCTTAGAGGTGCCCAGTGTGGAAATGTGAAGTAAAATGGAGCTTGCTGGCTGTATGTGAAACTCTTCCTTCAGGGTTGTGATTAGATCTCCTGTGTGGGAATAGTGCCACTAATTGCTCATTGCAAATGTCTAATTATAAATCTAAATTTAAAAGATGTAACCTGTTTCACTTTATATTCAGCCAGAGAAGGAAATATAAAGGGTGGATAAACTTTGACATTTGACTTAGGTTTGACTGGATTTAAGGTTGAAGTCTCTAAAGCTAAAAAAGCTAAACCCCCTGCTTGGTGAAGAAGACTCCTGAACAGAATCCTTCACGGGCTAAGAGAGATTCCTAATACCTGGTGGCTGGCTTTGATAGCAGCTAAAGTTACTCTAAGCTGGAGACAATTCTGGGCAGCAGCTAAGAGGCAGACTTTGGATATGCCTGGGATGCACCGTACTGCTACAGCTGAACCACAAATCAAAGCTGTTAAAGATCAAGGCTAGCTGTTAACTGTGGTTAAAGGGAGCTTTGCAAGAAACCCATCCTGCATGCTGTTACCCTCATTCCATCATGCCTCTTATATTTCTGTCTCCCAGTGCCTTCTTCTAATGCTGACACCCCTTAACACCCACCTCCTCGGCTTCTCCGTTTCTGCATCTCAGAACGAGGGGAGACCCATTTATACCTCTGCGCTGCCGCCGTTGCTTTTGGGCTGGAATGGCAACTGCGTCTTTAATACTTCTTGGAATGGCTGGAGTGTGGGAACAAGGAATGCCTCACCCTCCTTTTTTTCTTCTTCTTTCTCCTCTGCTTATGGCCTAACGTGGTGACACCAGCCAGCTCAGCCCTAACACAGAAATCCAAACACAAACCTTTGTCTATATTAAGATCTGGTCTCTGAGAGCAGCAGTTGGCTGTCGGGAGACTCTTGCCCAGCAACCCAGGCTGACCCACAAACAGTGATTTGTGACATGAGGTCAGCTGTAAATGTTTTATAAAGAAAAAAAAGAAACTGAGTCACAATTGATAGTGTGGTTAAATCTCTTGGAGCTGAAGTTGATTATTTAATTCAGTGGACAAAAAGAAAACTGATCAGCCACTTAACTGAGTGTCCAAATAAATACACGCACGTGTAGTTGAATTTCACCCTCTCATGTGTACGTTCTGATTTCATTTTCTCTAAAAGTCAGCAGATATTAAAGGAATCACTTTGAAAAGTTGGAGCATTAGAAAACGAAGGTATCTCCAGTCCTTATGTCAGCTGATTACTGATTATAAGTTAAGTGGATAAAATTGTAGAAACTGCTCTCATTACACAGTAACTCAATCATTACAAGTTAAACAAACACCAGTTTAAACAGTCTGAAATGTTTAAACACCAAAGCAAGAGTCATTGAATGCATGACTAAGAGGAAGAAAGAATGATGTAATGATCTGAAATGCCTCCTTGTGATTTCCTCATACATGGTATTGCTTCAGACCAGCTGACTGTAACGTCTCAGAGTCCAGGGCGACAGTCCAAAACCCAAAGGTCTCAGATTTTACAATAAAATGACTGTAACTGTTAACGAATTATCAAACAGTCAAAGACTGATTATCTCCAGGTCAACTAATAGATTCAAAGTTGACTAATCAGAGCAGTCAGCATGTAAGTGTTGAGAAATTTCTACCTGATGGGTTAGAATGAGAATTTGGCCAATCATTGACCCTAAAAATCTTCATTGTAAAGAAGATAAATGCCATTACTGAACATTTAGCCGGTGCAAAGTGGAAGTGACACAACAGATAAATATCAGCATGAGTCAACAGGACTGACGTTCAGAGGATAAGCTAACAAAATTACCTTTTATATTTATACACTAATTTACTGAACTTTTCTGGTGTTTTCAGTGTCATTTCTATAACCTGCATTCTGTGTCTTCAGGCTACCCCCCTCTTCCAAGCAGCCTGTACTCCAGCCCTTACCTGGGGCACCTGGGGCACCTTGAGCCTCCCTCGCTCTCCCAGCACCCTCTCTATGATTCTCATAAAGGTCAGTATCTGTCGCCGACAACATTCACAAAGACCAGTTGCCTGAATTTATTGTACATATTCTGCCTTATCCTGTGATACATCAGCAGCAGTAGGTTTTGTGCTAAACCTTTTTATTATAGTGTGAAAGCCTATTTAGTTGTGGGCCCTGGCCAGAAATACAACACCAGATTTAGCCCTGATTCCTTTGTCATTTTCACACTATAATGTATGTCTCTTCTGTCATTCGGCTGTTGCCGATCTACTATAAGCCTGTTGCATTGTTACGTTTTCTTGGCAAGTTGACACATAAATATTTATTATTATTTTTCACCTCTGCTTGAGTGCTGCAGGATGCTGCTGTACTCTGCCTTCATCATCTGCTTCATCATCTGTCAGCATGCTGTGTGGTTGTTTGTGTTGTCTGACTTGTGTGTTATGTTGTGTTTCTAGAGGGATATTACCTGCCATCCTCCCTGAGGCAGTCACCTCTCCACCCCCCGTCTGCTGCCTCCAATACCCCGTCCAGCTCCACACCCCCACAGAGGACATCCCGGGAAGGGGTGAGGGAAAGGTCTTATCGGGGAGAGAGGGATAGAGACAGGGAAAGGGAGCGGGAACGTTCAAGAGAGGAGCAGCGGCCGCAGAGCGTGGTGGACCTGACACAGGACGGGAGAGGTGAGGAGGACCGCAGGGTAGGCAGGGAACGGGAACGAGAGAAGGAAAAGGACCGGGACGCAGAAAGAGACAGAGATGGTTGGTCCTTCCATCTACACCAGCAAAAGTCACACTCCCAGCCTTCCACAGTGGAGCCCAGATCCAGGCTGTCATCTCCACAGACCTCCTTCCCTCCTGGTGGGGGTGGAGGAACAGGCAGGTTTCATGGACCAGAACCAGACAGAGGGAGTCGGGACGAGGATAGCGGCTCTCGACTCCACCATAACTCTAATGCGAATAACTCAAACCCTCATTCAGAGAGACATAGGAGGAATGACTCTGTAGCCACGTCAGCTGGAACCCTCCACATATCCTATGTCCTCCCTCCTGCTCTCCAGTCCTCAGCAGCTGGAGCGCCCCACCTTTCCACAGCCAGAGAGTCTGTCAGGGAGCAACGCATAAGCGCACCTACGTATGTGCCTTCTGTGGAGGTTTATGATGAGCAGGCGGGGCCGATCCAGATAGCATCACAAGCGCGCGACAACAAACACAGAGACAGAGAACGGGAGCGTGACAGAGACGTGGAGCATGAACGGGACAGAGACAGAGAGAGGGAGAGCTACAGGTTTCATGAGAAGATCCTCATGGAGCATCCTCGGCTCTCCCACTCAGGCGATTTAAGCAATCAAAGAGAGGAAGGTTCTGTGATTTGTTCCAATGGTTCCGTTGGTAAACGAAGCCAGGACACATCCCTCTCCTCCATTCAATCAAGGTTCAGCCCAGAAACCAGGGACATCTCTAAACACTCAAACAGATTAGGCATAGAGCGATCTGCGGCAGAGCCCAAGTGGAATCCTATCAGTCCGGTGACCAAATACGCTACAAGTCACATGGCTGCTCTGGCAGCCCAACACACGCTTTCTTCTCCCCACAGCCAGCAGACACACACGCGAATGTCACAGTCCCCTCACACATCCCATCGACACAACAGCAACACACAATCGACCCACAGCCATTCCCCCCAAACACACTCCTCCCAGCACGGACACGGGCGTGCAAGCGAAGAAGGTAGTCAGAGACGCTATCTGGACCCATCGGCGCTCTACCGACCAGGGGGTTCCAGCGGTGGAGAGCGTGGTGGGGGATTGGGTTCGGATTCTAAAGAGGTTTCGGCCATGCAGAGCCTGATCAAATACAGTGGAAACTTTGCTGCTGAAGGCCCTGGTTCCTCCAGGAACATCACGGACGGCAGAGGGCCCTTTGGTGGATTGGGGAACATTGGGATGGAAATCGAGAGGGAAAAGGAGAAAGAGAGAGAGCGAGAAAGGGAGAGGGATAGGATAGCAGTTGGCTCCGGTGGTTCAGGAGCATTAAGGATGCCTCAGCTGAAGAGAGAACAGGAGCGACCCGACAGTGCCCGCTCCTTTGGCCGGGAAGGTGAGGGCGAGGTGCGCCACCCTCCGGTTGGGATTGCTGTTGCTGTGGCTCGGCAGAGAGACAGCGGGGCCACCAGTAAACAGACGAGTGGAAGCTCAGACACACAGAGACCCCTGCTGCAAACCGCTATTAAAGGTCAGTACTTCTTTGGTCTTCTTCAGCTAAAAACTCCTTTTTCTTTTTTTTTTCTTTTCCTGGTGACTGATAGACGTACAAATCTGAGTGCAAATTGCACTCAGTGTGGGTTTTAAAATACTTCCAGGAGTCACATTCACTGAACTGATAACACAATATTTTAAAGTTACTGGCAAGTTAAATCAAGTGTACTTAGAACATTGTTCAAATGTATTTGCTCGTGCTTCTGCTTTCAACTCTCCACTGTGGCTTCTCTCTGAATTGTTCTGCAGGGAACACAGATCCCTTCAGTTAAATGAACCAAGAGCAAATGATTCCTCATTTTGGTTTCTATGAATAATAGACGATTCATTTTCTCCCGCCTCAAAGTCATATTTCCTCACCCCCCTGTTTGACACTGAGGTGTTCATGCGTGCAACATGATTTGAATGGTTAAAAACAACTTTTTTCCCCCCACAATTTGACTAATTATGTCATAGGGTGTATTTTGTTGAATGGCTCTCTGCTGGCTGCATTGCAATTCCTGCCATATTACACTCCATTCTTGGACGTCAAGGTCATTCAGCTCCAGTGCTCCCGCTCCATCTCCTTGTTTCTGTTTCTTTCTCAGCACCGTGTGTCATTGAGCTCTTTCTATCTTCCCACAGCTCGGCCTCACTCTCTCTCTTGCTCTTTTCATTGAGTTGAATATCTCTCTGCCTCCCCACCCTTCTTTCCTTTCAGAAAAGGGTTTTGTAGAGGTACTCCCCCCTTGTCCCACCTCTGGGCCCTCTACTCTTTCTCCACTCGTCCCCCCCCCCCTCTCTGCATTAAACATGTCATTACAGAGCGCAGCTAAAAGCTACAAACAAGCCTTGAATTACAATAAGACCATGGCTGCGTTGCTAAGCAATGGATCAGTCTTGAGTGACTGTGTGTATATTAGGAATTGTGTGTATTTATGAGCTACTGTAGATGCACATGCAGTGCATCCCTGTTTGCGATTGGAGGGGGGGGGGGAGTTAGTCATTTCCTTCCTTGAGCAGATTGATTTGCTAATAGCCTCAGTCCCTCATGCTAGGAGGAGCTCTAAATAAACAGCAGAAGAATTACACTGGAAATAGATGGATGTGTAAATGGAAGGAAGCACGAAGTGGTCTAATGATAGGAGAGACCATCTATCAATAGGTTGATGGACCGGAGGAGAAAAGTGTGTCAGGAAAGTAAGAAGAGTATGAGACAGATGGAAGCACAGCAATGAGGAATGTGGGGGAAGAAGAGGGGGCGCGCAGTGTTTATCCCTGATACAGAAAGGATAGCATGTGGGGCCGGCTCCTTGTAACCTTGGTAACAGTGTAGAACCCTTTCCTGTGGAGCATGTCAGGGATTGTTAAAGTCTCTTGTCCTTTTATAGGCTACACACACACACACACACACACACACACACACACACACACACACACACACACACACACACACACACACACACACACACTCTCATGACTGAAAGGTTTGGCACACATGTATAAAATAAAACCTTCTGCTGCTTGGGGACCCTCAGTCAGCGTTGATGAGATGGAAACGGGTTAATGGGAGAGAGGAGGAGACCCTCATGTTTATTCTGGGTTGCCCGCTTGAGTGCTGCTCCCCTTCCTCCTCTTTTCTTCCTCCTCAGTCTTTTGCCGTTGGCTCTCATAGTAAGCAGGATGGGTTTAAGGCCCTGTGTATGCAGTAGTAAGGCAGCGATGGCAGGTTCACGTGTCTCCTGCGGCACTAGACTAATAATTGATGCGAGCTGGCAGCTGGAGTGAGAGCCGTCGCTCCATTTCTGTGTGTGTTTGTACAGTTTGTGTGCACACACACTCTGTTTGGAGAATGAAGCTTAACATAATGATTTTTTTGTAGCCTCTCTGCTCATTATGACATGCTGTGCCACCTTTAGTCGCTGTCACCTTGTATTTTTCCCCTTCTGTTCTCTGTTGTCACCCATCGTGCTCAACTTTATAACCTGCCAGAGTTTCCTTTTTCATCCCTACTATAGACCAGAGAGATGTCCAATAGTAGAGTGCACTGTAGCAGGTAGCATAATATGGCTGTTATAGCCCATCATATTTTCTTCTATGGTGTAGTATCGAAGAAAATGTGATGATGAATCCTTTTCTCTCTTCCCGTCTTCCTGAATGTGTAGATGAAGAACGTGGAGAGGACCGTGCTCGCCACCACAATGACAGACTGCTGGCTGGCCGGCTCGAACGTGAGCAGGAGAAAGTGCTCAGGTGGGGAAGTAAATCAGCTATTGATTTTTTTATTTTATTTTATTTTTTTATTGTTAGTAACCCAGTTACTCATTAGTCATGAATCATGGTTAAACAAGTCTATTGGGCCACCTGCAGGTCTCTTCTTTAAACAATATTAAATTAAAATCGTAGCCTGTATATAAAGGGTGGAAGAATCAACTGTGTCACCTGTTGCTTTGTGACTTAAACTCTGTGGTTTTCACCACTTTGTGAGTTTGGTGCTACATGTGACCATATTTGCAGTGCAGAGTTCAAATTTATGAGCAAGCTCAGCTAACGAGCTGTATCCCGAACAGTCGACACAGACTCCTGCTAATTCCTGTGAAGGAACAAATAAGGGACTAAAATTCTTACTCACCAAAACTGGAGCACAGATTTAATTCCAGTAAAAATGCTAGTGAAGAGGTCCAGTTCAGCCACTCAGATTCGCTGATACAGCACAGAGCAGGTAGCCAGTTTGCATCCACCTGTCTGTCAATGCAGTCATGTTCCTGTTAATGCAAAATTTTAAGCCTGAACAAAATCTAAATCTTACAAAACATCCTGTGTACCGTTGTTATGAACGTGGTTAAAAATGTTTATGTAGCACACTGTAAACTGGTTTCTTTCTGCTGTAAAGTCGAATGCATTATGGAAGTCCACTGGGATTGACTCGCTTTTGGAGCTGTCCTTGAAACTGAAGTTTTTGGCATTTCCACTCTGCCTTCATTTCTCATTTCTCAGGGGTTGTCCCTTTATTAAACGGGTCTTGTTTCCTTTTAGAGAGTCCAAGGAACTTGCAGAGTTTACTCAGATGCACCCTGCCCCACTATCTAGCGGCTTGACACCCAGTATGATGACGTCCAGCCTCATGACCCCAAACCTTGTGGTCACAGGAGGGGCCGCTCTGGCAGGGGCAGGACGATGGCCTCCTGACCCCTCAACTTTGACCTCTCACCCGTGGATACCCCGGTCTGGAGCTCCCCCAGTCTGGCTCTCTGGCTCTCCATACAGTATGTAGATGTGCTTTTGTCTCACACTTTAGATTTTTCCTCAAACCCCTCGTAACATCGTTGAGGAACTCAGTTGTGTAACTGGCGATTTTAATAATTTTGTGCTTTATGTCAAGAGAAAAGTCAACAAAAGCTGAAATAATGAATCTTTTATTCAAGCTGCAGAAAATTAATAAAGACACATTGTTGATTGTGCTGCTTTTATTTTGACTGTTGTTTCAACATTTATTTATTTGTTTAGAGTAAACAATTATTTAACGGATTATTTGGAAGTAATCATACAGAAAGCCCTAGTTTACTTATTGTTTGCATTAAAAACAAAGTGGTAAACACATGTTACGTGTGTTACAGTCGCTTTGTTTGATGGAAACCTTACATGTTGGAGTTTAAATAAGCTCCTTGAGCACTGAAGGAGACACCCAGATGTGGGACAGATAGCACAGCACGCCGTTAAAGGAATTAGCGGTTTTAACTCTGTATGCTTTTGCACTTTCAGAATCATTTCTATCTTACTGTCTGTCAGCGTTATAACACCTGGTGCTAAACGTAGAGCACACATGCTTTGTCTAGCTTTTCACACGTGGCTTTTCCTGATTGGTGTTGTCTGTCCGTCGAGCGGTTCAATCAGCAGCAGCCCCGTTGAGTCAAGTGCCGCAGACATTCCTGGTCTCTGCAGGACATTCCAGACCTTCTTCTTCCAACGCACACTGTCCAGAAATAACAGCACAGAGATGCAAACTCGCTCACTCACGTGTACGCTTGCATAAGCATGTAAGGTTTGAAAACATGCAACACTGAGACACATGGTCATGCAAAGCTCCCAAAGGGCCTTCTCTGTCTAGACACGGAGGACAAAAAACCCCCCAAAAACAAAATACTCTCTCAAGCAGCTAAATTCAGTGCACGCTCCCACATGTGATTCCATTATGCTTTCACTGCAAGTATAAATACTGAATGAAGAATAGCACTGGGTAAATGTTGGATTCAGTTTGGCTTCTGTTGACTTTCTCTTCTTTTCATCTGACGTTTTTCACACTTCTGCCTCCATTTTTTCACCCTTTTATTCTCCCCCCCTCCTATTCAGGCCTGGGTCCCTCTTCACTCCACCAGACCCTCCCCCCAGGCTACCCACCCTCTCTGCCAGGCTCGATGCCCCCTCCCTACCAGTTTGCCAGAGATCCGCAGTCTGGACAGCTAATCGTCATCCCATCCGAACACCTGCCACACTATGGTAGGAAAGCTGTTGTCTTTGTAAAAGTGTCAGTGCAAGTTGGCTTCCGTTTTGCTCGAGCAAAAACAAAGGAGTACCACTTTTATACAGACAGATGTTACTGTTTGTACTTTCTGTAAACAAATGAAAATGGAAAATCAGTCATGTTTCTCTGGCTTAATTTTATAATTTGCCATCAGCTGAGGCTATTCTGTGACCATAAGCCACCCTAAACCCTGTATCTGTGATCCTGTAGCAGTGCATTGTACTTCTTTTCCCCTTGTACATACTCAACTCAGTTTCAGTCGTTTTCCTTTACAGTTGAGTAACACCTAATGTGCATGGGGTAGTTATAGCAATGCAACAAGGCAACAGTTTTTATATTAAAACTACATCAGCTGGTTTCCTCAGTGCCCAAAAGCTACAAAAAGGACGTGGAGTATCACAGTAGTAAACAAACCCAAGTTCCAATAATTCTCTATCAAATTAAGAATATCCCAAAAAATCTTTTTGTAAGTGGGGAAAAAACTGCTTTGTAAAAAGCAGAAACTTTGAATGGACATTTAATTTTACTCTCTCCTCATGGCTCTGGCTGCTGTTCTGCAGGTGGTGATGTACTGGAGCGTGGAGCCCCAGTGTGGTCGGGTGTGTACGGTACAACCAGCACTTTGCAGCATGCGGCCCAGCTGCAGCTCCTCTCTCAGCAGCAAATCCTCCGACAACACGAGCTACTCATGATTCAGCAGCACACAGCGCAGGTCCTGGAGCTACAGAGGAATGCACAGATAGCTGTGAGTGAACTTTGTGCTGTTAAGCACCTTCATGTCAACAAACACCATATTTAAAGACATTTCCATGAATATTACACATTGTACAATCCAGCTGTATGTAGACATAAAGGCATAAACACAGCAAAACAATGTTAGATTGGCTTGCAGTAGGATTTTAGTTCCCTGCTTTGATTGCGCTTCCAAAAAGTAAAGATCAGTAAACAGCCATATCCTGCAGCTGCAAAAGCATACAGCCAGGGAAGTCTAAACAAAGCACATCCCACAATTCATATCCTGAGTCTGTCACATCATACACACACGGTGCGTGCGTCTGTCAGAAATATCTCCTCTCCTGTGTTGTAGGAGCGCCTAAAGGCCAGTGAGCACCGGCCAGAGATGGAAGACAAAGCAGACAAGCGTAACACTGACTCAAAGCCCAGACCCTCCTCAATTTCATCCCCGTCTCCCTCACCGGTGCTGCATCCCCGCAAACCTCCTCCTTCCTCTCGATCTCCAACCCCGTCGACATCGTCCCTAACCCCGCTGCCTCGGCTCCCCTCTCCAGTGACCACACTGAAGTCAGAGGAAGGTGGGCAGAGAGTACTGTCTCCGCCGAAGCCCCTGCCTCACCCGTCTTCACCCCGTTCAGCGTCTCCCCCCCCTTCCTCGCCACGGCGGCCTAAACAAGAGATGTCTGAAGAGGGGGAGGTGGGACAGAGGGAACAGAGAGAGGGGCAGAAACAGACCTCTGCACCCTTTCAAAGCATGTACGCCGGTGAGTCTGGAGCAACCTAACAAGTGTATAATGCAGCCATCTTTGCTTTTCATCATCATGTCAGCTAGAGTGGATACATAAGACTTTTTTTTTCCACGGTAGTCCAAGCATAAAGTGTCTTAAGCAAGGAATTAATCAGACCTACCTCCTGATATCAGACAAATTTGCTGTTCTAACTTATATTTTTGTTTGCCTTTGTGACAGATCTCCCTCCAGGTTATCCTTACCAGTCCATCACGGCCCCATTTGGCTCACCTTTTCCTCCTTATCACATCCCAACACCCACAGGGGAAAATGCAGAAGCTGTCCCACCCCGTCGTGTCTGCTCTCCTGCTTTAGCTGCCCCTTTGCCCTCAGCCCATCTCCATTCAAGGCTTTTGGACACAGATATCATGCCTCAAAAGCTAGAGCAGTCAAAGTCGGCATCTTTCCTCAAACAGGAACCTGATGTGGAGCAGGGAAAGCTTGACATAACACCAGAGCCACTCGTACCTCTTCAGCAAAGCTGTAGTCCTGCCCAAGTCACCCAGGACAATGAAGAAGACAGGGAACCCCCAAAGCCACAGCCTCAACCGTTACCTCTGCATGTCCCTAGTCCTCCACCACAACGAGCCAGAGGGCTGGAAATCAGGGAGGAAGAGAGGGAAGAAGGTCAAATCAAAATAGAAGTTTCAGCTTACTCATGTCTGACAGCATATTCTGAGCCTCCTACACTCACAGAAGCTGAACCTAAATCCAAGGTCATAAAGGATCCAGACCAAACACATTATGCAGAGTGCATCAGCACAGATTCAGACAGACAGGAACTGTCTCAGACATGTGCATCACTAGATCAAACCACCAGCGCTTCATGTGAACAGGAACAGCCAGACAGTCCAGTCATCTTGGATGCTCCGAGTCCAAAAGAAAGTCTTGTTGATCCTCTTCTCTATCCACTTCCTGCCCCGACCTCTCCACTTCCACTTGTCATCAGTTCAGAAGATCCCATGGCAGGGATGCTCGCCTTGCTGACAGCTAGTGAGATGGTCCATCCTCTATCAATCACCCCACCTGCCCCAACACTCATACCACAGATTGAAAGCTGCAGCACTGCAGGACCTATGGAGATGGTGGCGCTGGAGGGGATGGCCCTGCTTAGCCAAATGGCTCAGCAAGAGTTAGAAAACAGCCATAAGGAGCAAGGTAAGCAGTTTCTAACAGATGTAATAAACAGCTATTTATATTTATGAACTCCTCTAATTTTAGTTTTTTCTGCATCCCATCCAGATGTGACATTAGAGGGTCTAGACTGTCTTCTTGAAGCAAGCAAACAAATCCTTCTGGAGGCCATAGAGAAACAATCCCACATTGATCTGCCCAGAACGCTGGACCCCAACAAGAAGTACAGCTGGCGGCAGAGGAAAGAGGAGCCGGTAAGATCAAGAAACGTGTGGCCCACAATTGAAAATGAGCCGGTTTAGGAAATGTTTCTCACCTCGTTGCCTCTCTTTGCAGCTGTACAGTAAACTGCCTCTGGATGTGTTGGACACAATGGAAGTGGAACTCCGTGTCCGCTTGGCTGAGCTGCAGAAGACGTATAAAGAGAAGCAGAGAGAGCTCAGCAAGCTCCAGAGACGCAGAGACAAGCGGTAATTTTTTTTTAACACTGCTTGCACACTTGCTGTAAGAATCACTACTACGCGAAATAATCACAAAACTGCGAAAAATGCTTCCATGCCTCCGTTCCTGGACTAACACACGCTTAAAATTGTTTTGTTGTGTCAGTGAGCGCCAGCTGCAGGAAGATGAGAGGCGCAGTCTGACCAGACGGGGTAGAGGGCGACCTAGAAAGAGGAAACACTTGGCCACACCTACCAAACTGGACAGCAGGCCTGGAAAGTGAGTGAACCCACAAATGTAATCTGCTGCTGACTTTTGCCGTTTGTTCTCCTTTACGCATGCTTTTCTATATGCATATTCAGCAAAGGTGGATATTTCTGTCCCAGGGTGGGTAGGACGGTGCAATACTCGGAGGATTCTGAAGCAGGGGAAGGACAAAGGAAGAAGTTCCGGGTGTCCAGAGAAGAAGAGGAGACAGAGGCAGGAAGTGGAGGCTTGAAAGTGAAAAAGAAGAAAAAGAAGAAGAGCTGGAATGACACGGAGCCATCTACCAGTCATCCGCTGGAGGTAGGCTACCTGGAAGTGCATTTTTTTTTGGCAGTAGGGTAATGCGACTGGTCTCGTATAATTAATGATGAGTCTATGGTGATGGTCTTAGGTGCTAAAGGCAAAGCGCGGCCTCCTATGTGAGCAGGAGCAGCTGGCGTCAGACCTCGACAGAGCGCTCTCTCTCTCGCAGCTCGGCTCTCTCGGCGCATCACGCAAATTCACCTCCAGCACGAAATTGGAGAAGTCGAAGAGCAAGTCTGTGGAAAGTCGACTCAAGGAGAGAGGAATCCACTCCTCGGTCAAAGCAGGAAAACACAAGATGGCTTCCAAGGCTTCTGCTTCAGACGCTGCCCGGAAAGTGAAAGGTCAGAAGAAGACAGCTTTGTTCTCTCCCATGAGATCAGAGCTCAGCAGCTGCTCTAACAGTGAGTACCTGGAGACAAAAAGTAGCTTCATGTGTCTTTTCCCCAACTGTCAACACAGCCTGAGTTATAGAGTGACCTACTTTTAGCTAATGCTGATACAGTGTCACTTTTTATATAATTCATGGTTAGACTTGGAAAATTAAAAGTGCAGCACATACTCATGTTTTATGCCACTTACGTCATTTTACATTTGTCAGTCACTGGCTTCAGCACACAGAAAAGTGCTGTAGAGATGGGAGTTGGGTCTGAAGTGGTGGGAATTAGATTTGCATGTGCAAGACTTCCACAGATAAAGTGCATCAGAACCACTGAGAGCAATTTAAAGGTGCACATGTGGATCAGTTTCTGGGTGACCTGCTTGGTCACTCACTAATCTTGTCTTTTTTTGTCTGGCAATGATTTTCTTTCTTGCATTTTCTTGACACATGCTCGTTGGTTAGATGGTGTAGAAAGTTAGATTATCTGCGGCTGACTAGTTCCAGATATGCTGGGCTTTGCTGCATTAGTTTAGAAAATAAAACATTAATCTCTGTGAGGCTGTGATATTGAAACCAAGCGGAAACTCTCTTTGTGTCTGAGTCTTTGTTTCCATCCTCATGACCTCATGAATGATTAACCGCACTCTCTCCACACCAGACTCCGATTCAGAGGAGCACACTTCTGCTCGAGGGGGCTGGCCCCCTCTCTCAGGGACGCGCTCCCACGGCAGCCTGCCCAGGAAGAGGCGGTCCACTTCATCGCCGACATCCCTGCTATCCAGTGAGAAATCTCAGAAGAAGAAACACAAGCACTTATCCCTACTGCTGGAGGAAGCGGGCCTCAGCTCCTCTGACGACTCCTTCGACCAAGGTTACTGACCAAATCTTAGAGCTATTCGCCGCTTGCTGTCGAGTCAGACATCACTGTGTCTTAGAGCTTGTGTCTTAGTTTGGTCTTCACTAAGGCAGCTTTTTTTGGGGTTTTTTTAAGACTGTGCTTTTGCTTGACGATCTCTACCTCTCTCGCTGCTGGCCTCTCTGCAGAGTTGCCATATTTTTTTAAAACAAATGTTTACTTATTTCTACGGTGTTTTTTAATGCCTGGATTGCAAACTGTTTTGTAGCATTTGTACATTGAACATTTTGTGAATTGTGAATTTTTCGCCCCCTCATAAAATTGTATTGCAGTTTGACATCTATAAGCTTTATTAAAGGTGTTGATTTGATTGCTACAGAATGCAAAGCGCCGTGGTCCTTGTGTCTGCTTCATCTGTCTGTCCGTCTCTGTCAGTACGTCCAGCTGCCCAAGTGCACCTCACACATCCTTTGAAGTGCTTTGTTCGTCAAATATCCCTGTGGATAGCTGGAAAATGGCTGTTCTGCTTAAGGGTTCACACTTGGAAAGCTAGAAGATGAATTCAGAGCACACAGAGCCCAGTCTGTTTGGACAGATAATTTCCTTGCTGCGCTTTTAAACGGTCATAAAATAGATGTGTAATGCTAGTGTTAGTTGTCGTGCTTCACTTTTGTTTTTAGACTAACGCTTCTTGAGCATGTGGCCTGGTGTTTGACGTTTTTGGGGGAAAAATGACCCAAGAGTGATTTTGGGATATTTGGACAATAGAGCTCCTCCTGTGTGTCTACTAAACCTTCAAATAACCCTTTTCCCTTTACGTTGCTGTCTCCGACACCTTGCTCTGTCCTCTCACCTTTGACCCCCACCCCCATCCCCTTCCTGCCCTACTCATGATGCTTTTAAGTGTCTCAGCCTGTTCCATATGCTTGTGCTGCTGCTACTGCGACATTACAGAAGCTTGGTGAGGACTAGCGCAGCCTTGAGCCTACACTACCGCGCCATGGCCATTCTGCGCTGTGGCTAAAGCTTTGCTTAAGCTATACTGGGGTAAAGGCCAGGCTACGTTACGGCTAGGCTCTCGCCGCTGCGCTGCCCCGCCCCACCCTGTCTGAGGCCACACCCCTGTCACCTGCTCTGTAAGTAGGATGTGCCCCTCCCTCAATTTTATTATTGACTAACATGGACTATGCTGAAATTGAAATGCCTACAGAGAATATTAACTTTTTTGGGGGGGAGGGGTTTGTTTTGTTTTTTTATTGTTCACACAATTTGGAGCTCTAGCGGTAGCCATGGTTACCCCCACCTACCAAGTTAATGTCTACTGATGGCTTGTAAAAGTTTAAAGAGACACATTTGGTGTTGATTGGGAACAGAGGATATAACCATGGATAATTAAACCACATAAGGGGCCTCACAGGGCTGTCCTCTCAGTGCCTGCTTGTCCTAACGTCTGTCTGCTACTGTTAACGCACCGTGGATTCACAGTACAACATGTGCACCAGATTTGGTTCCTAAAAGTAACTGTTAGAGCCTCGAAACAAGTCTTTAAATGTTTTCATTCTTGTCTCGAGCTGCAGTGAAAGTAAACTGTACAATTAATTGGGGTTAAAGCCTAAAAACCCTGCAGTGACCGGCAGGTATGCTCCAGGGAAACCTGACAGCACAGTCACCTCTGATTCTTCTTAGAACTGAGGCTTTAAACACAAAAATCCAGAACCACTTGATTTTCAGCCTAGTGATGAGTTTCCTTTCCCTAACATTTTTTTTTATAGTTCTGTGCTTTAGCATCACTTAAATCCCAAAGTTATAGCCTTTTAATAATTTTACAGCTCTTAAATGTACTGTGTATCCACCCTCCATGTTAACACTAACCCCCTCTGTTCATGAACTGCTAACTGCCAGCTACATGCAGCTAACAGCCACTATGCTACACTCTGAGTGTGTGTGTCTCTTTGTGTGCTCTTCTGGCTTGTCAGAGGAGGAGGAGCAGCTTTTATTTTATTTCCATGATGTTTTTATTTTTCCAATAATAAATAATATCCCAGTCAGCTCACGCGGGTCTTACTGACTTTGTGGGGACCTTAATCTGTTTCACCACTTACATTATGGGGACATAACTACTTAATGGGACCTCATGATGCAATGAATACATTTGAAAGTAAAGTGATGTTTTCAGGATAGGTTTAGGTTGGGATTAGGTTCAGGCAAGCTACAGCTAAGGTTATACGAGATTTCCAGTGTAAGTCAATATAACGTCCTCTGAAATCAGGTGTGTGTGTGTGTGTGTGTGTGTGTGTGTGTGTGTGTGTGTGTGTGTGTGTGTGTGTGTGGGGCTCAGATGCATGTTTATGGTTGATTCTGCTTGCTGTTGCTTTCTCGTGCAGCTTTACATAAAGGCGGGCTGCGGCAGTTCAGACAGTGGATCTCCTCTCTCTCCACTCTTTTTTCTCTCCCGCCTACACGTGTGTGTGTTTATGTGTACTTGTGTAAACACATAGTTAAAGATCCGGGCTGCTGCAATAGCGGTGTTATTTCTTTTGTTAATTAGCCCTCTCTGTGGTGCACTCTCTCTGCAACAGTAGGAAGCGATCTGACCTTTGGTCCAGACCTCCTGCCGTGAACACATTTGTCTCTGAGCTGGAAATCTTTTCTCTGATGCAGAAACCTCCGAGGACGAGGAAGAGTCGGATTCAGACGACGACCCCGGTTGTGAGGAGAGCGGGCTGGGTCTGCTGGCCAGGTTTGCGGCGAGTGCGCTCCCTGTCAGCTCGGCCTCTTTGAGCCTCCACCACGACAGCAAACACTGCAGCAGGCAAAGCACTCTGGGTAAAAGATCTTACACACAAATGAGCTGTGAACTGATGTGCCTTCTCTCTCCTTTTGTTTTAATGCAGACAGACCCGGTTCACTCTGCTTAAACTGATTTCACACATTCCCCCGATGGCCTTTAACTCTATTGTGGTTTTTTTGTGGTTGAGCAGATTCACCACCTGAGCATTCGTTCAGGATTTTCTTATTGATTGAAGGTTAAATTTTAATTCATTTCTAATTGTCACACCAAGGGTGTGTGTAACGATTCACCCTTGAATTATGTATTAGTTTCAAACTGATCAATACTCCTATTCACAGAGTTATTGATTTCAGGCAATCTACCACTTCAGTTCGTTAATGACTGGATGTTTATGGGAGGAGTCTAGTTTTATGCATGTGCGAGAGATACATAGGAAGAGTTTTTACCATCATATGACCCTCTCCTCACCTCCTACAGGTTCAACAGAGTGCGAGTGGTCAGACTCTGGCTCGGACGTGCGGTTAAGGAAGTTCCCTTCTCTGCTGCACGGAAAACGCTCCGCCCCCGAGCTCCCCCTTTTGCCACCAGCGACCCGCCGCGTTGACCAGAGTAGCCCCACCAAGCGAGACGAGGCGCTGCAAGTCAAACGCAAACCTCTGCCCAAATCACGCCCTACGCCTCGCTCACCCCGGAGATTTAGTTTCGACCTCGCCAGCAGCTCTGGGTTCGGAGGTTTCAGCGAGGATGAGGGTTGGAACCGCCGACGCAGCGAGAGGATTTTTCTCCACGATGCCACGGTTTCAGCCTCCACCCCTTCCATCAGTCAGAGCTCCTCGTCCTCCTCCACCAGCTCAGCCCCACCGCTCACACCGAAGGCCGTCTCCAGACCGAAGCCCACTCAGCCCAGCAGAGACGGGAAAGACGTGGTGAAAGTATGTCAAGAAGTCACTGAGCTGTTACCGGCTCAGACTGAACAGCAAAATCACACCTTTTCCCCCTCTCTTCTCACTCCACATCTTTTCTACCCTTGTTCAGACTCCTGCTCCCTCGCATCCTTTTTTCTATTGCAATGTTTGCTAGTGTGTGTGTTTAGGAGTGTATGTCAGAGCGCCAGCAGGGTTTCCTTTACTTCAGTCAGTGCAGCACTCCCCTGCTGTCTGTGGCGTGTTGCTGACAAGAAAGGACAACTGCAGGCGGCTTGGATGCCCCCCCCCCCCCCCCGTGTGTGTGTGTGTGTGTGTGTGTGTACACAATGTGATTCTGCCCAACAGAGCCTCGGTGACATAATTTATTCATATGCATGTTTTTAACTGTGTTGTAAAAACAGAAAAAGAAGCTGAAGGACTCTCCTCTGCCTGTGAGCCCGTCCACTCTGTGCAGTCCAGTCACAGACAGCCCTGCACCGCTGAGCCTCAGCCTGGCACGTAAGAGTCAACCAAAACCCAAGACCAAAGCCAGAGAGGTCAGTATGATGATAAATTTGCTGCAAAGGTGCAAACTTAATTTTGCTGACAAGGACAAAGCCAGATCTTTAAAGTCATTGGACCTAATAGTGCAAAAGGTACTTTGAGGCTTGGCGTTGTGTGCTGTGCTGTGTGTGTGTGTGTGTGTGTGTGTGTGTGTGTGTGATTTGTGTGTGATGTTGTGTGTGTGTGTGTGCGTGTTGTGTGTGTGCGTGTGCATGTGTGTGCGTGTGCGCGCGCGCGCACAGTATCAAAAGGTCTTCAGAAACAAACTAATAGCTTGTGTTGGATTTAACACTTTTGTTTTGTTACTGAGGGGAAAGAGTAAACCTAATTGTGTGATTTCTGCCAAAGTGTTGTATTTCTCACCATCTGCCGCCAGACAAAACTTGAGTTTGCTTTGGAAAAGGAAGCAGAAGTGTGTGCAGGGCTCTTTGTGCTGGTGGAGATCGTTTATTCGACAGCATAAGTGTTGTAATATGCTACTGTTTGTGTGTGAAAAGTTCATTTGTGGTGTGTCAGCCTGGTGATTTGGTGGAGTGCCACAAGTCAACATTAAGTAGAAAAGCCACTGTGTCGCAGGGGGAATCACTCTTGTTCCACAATAATTTGATTGTAAGGAAAATAACATCATTACGGTTTTTTGGGAATCTAATCAAATCTGCTTGTTTGTGTTGCAGCCTTCCAGGGGTGCGGTGAGCCGGCTGATGGAGAGCATGGCGGCAGACGAAGACTTCGAACACAACCAAGACAGCAGCTTCAGCGAGGACGAACTCCTCCCAGCACGAAGCAGCAGCGTGTCAGAGAGTGCCTCAACTCCTGGTCAGTGTTCGCAGACTCGAACCTCAGATTGTCACACATGCTAAAATGATAGCATGTATATTTATTACTGTTTGGGGTGGTGTTGTGTTCAGCTCCAGTGCAGTGTGTGCTAGATAAGGACTCTCTGGTGGACGGACTCAGAGTATTGATCCCGATGGACGACCAGCTACTGTACGCAGGACATGTGAACACTGTACACTCCCCTGACATGTGAGTACGCATTAGCAGACTTGTAAGTAGAGGGAAAAAACATGTGAGACGTTTGAACACCTTCTTAGCTTAACATAAAAGTTTGAAGCGAGCTTTCTCAGTAAAAGTTGTAAACACAAGAAAAGCCTAAAAGTTCATGCTATCCATCACGTTTTCCAAAGTCGTCCAGTGGCCCGAATTGGGATCTTTACCAGGCCAATTTTTGCCCTCGGGCCTTATGTTTGACAGCCCCTGCTTTAACCACACACATGCATTCACACAAACATGGAAAAACATGAAATTTCACTGATGAGTTTTTGACCCACTCCCACTGTCGACATGAAATTTCACATCTGTGTTAATTTGGATCCTGTATGGTTATGTTAGACAGATATTTTTGACCCTATGGTTGTTCTTGCTACAAATAAGTACCACCAAAACCACATTTTGCCACAATGACACTCACACAAAGTGAAAACAATAGTAAAGAGAGTGGGTTCCTCTATCTGCTACACTTCAAGCTCTATCAAGATATGGCCTAAACTCTGGTTCTGACAAAGAGACCACTCACACTACCAAGAACGCTGCTGTGGCTCAGGAGACTGTCTGACAGTGTTGTTTAAAGCAATGACCCTTGCTCGATGACCCCAAGCTTTTGACAAACTCCCCTTTTCCCACAGATACAGTGTGGTGGTGGAGGGGGAGCGAGGAAACCGACCGCACATCTACTGCTTGGAACAACTACTCCAGGAGGCTGTGAGTATCTATGTGAAATATATGAGGTGTAAAGAGTAGCAAAAATAAAAGTATTGTGTTCATATGCAAAGGGAAGTATGAAATAGTTTGATGCTTTAGCTTGCCATATAAGAGTTCCTACTTCTGTGTGTACAGATCATTGATGTGAAGCCTCCATCCGTGCGCTATCTCCCTGAGGGCACCCGCATCGCTGCCTACTGGAGCCAGCAGTACCGCTGTCTTTACCCCGGCACTGTTGTCAACGGTGCGACAAGAGCACAAACAGCCACCACTTCAATGATAGGATTCATAAGCAAGTTACATTGTTGCCAGCAGCACAAACAAATGCAAACGATCTTAGCAGAGCTGCACTTTCATTGTAGGGATGTTACTGTCTTGGAGATTGTAAAGGAAACGTAACTGGTCTGGATTCTGTTCTTGACTTCAGATCGAAACATGCTACATCAGCCCTTTTTAATCTAATCTAACCAGATACAATCGTTCCTGCTGACCTGCGCATTTTCGTTTCTTCCAAACAGGAAGTTCAGACATCGATGAGAATGACGATCTCATCACGGTGGAGTTTGACGATGGCGACACGGGCCGCATCCCTCTCTCACACATCAGACTGCTGCCGCCAGACTACAAGATCCACTGTGAGCACGAAATATGCACACAACACAGTGTGAAAGGTTTAGCACCAGAGACACTCAGATTAGTCTTGGAGAATGAGAAGGGGGAGTAAAGGGGAGCAGTGAGAAAAACGGGGACCATGAAGCACATTGCTCCCTAAAAAACTGAACATATTTAATGATCACCGAGTCCTAATCCCCGTGTTTCTCTTTGGGAACTTGTAATAAGCAAGGTGCTTCCAACACTTCCTGAGGGGATGAAGACAGTAGAGTGTATGCTCATACATAACAGTATCCTAAACATCTTAGCCCAGTTTGCACATTGCAGACAACCAACGTGAGCCCCCAGCCCCCTGAAATCTCCTGCATTCATTATTAAAAGTGTGAAAAGCACAAACTTTAAACCCTTGTCTTCTTCTGTAAAGGTGCCGAACCATCCCCGGCTCTGCTCGTGGCCAGCTGTTCCAGGAGGAGGGTCCGCAAATGCAGCAAAGAGGGTAAAGAGGCGGGAGCAAAGCCAGAGGAAACCACACCCAAGATCAAGGGAAAACCTGGTCGCAAACCCAAACCCAAACCAGGTGAGCCAAACAAAGTACTAATACCATCACATTGTCTCGAACTCCTCAACTTTCTGCTTTACTCTGATGGAAAACTTTTATTCCCAAAGCTGAATGTCTCTGCGTACATTTTTACATGCTTGAGACTTTTTGTTTATCAGAGATAATAACCCACTCTCGCCCTATGACAGCTGGGATAGGCTCCAGCGCCCCCTGCGACCCTGAAAAGGATAAGCGGAAGCGAATGGATGGATGGATGGATGGATGGATGAGAGATAATAACAGAAACATTTCTGTGTGGTTTCTTTCTGCATTTATGAGAGAGGCCACTTTCGATGAGTCACGTTTTTAAAACAACAGAACCAGCAAAAATAGCTTGAGGTTCAGAAGTGTCAGACATCTCTAGTTTGACCATGTGTGTCATCTCTGATGTCAGTTTAATGAATTTACTCAAACTGCTGCTGTGCTGTTCTGTGAAGCTCGCAGCCTGTAGCTTTAACTGTAATAAAAAGCACACCGCTTGTCCGATTTGCTGACGCTGCCACGTTTTGACTGGGTAAGCAGTTCTTAGATGTAATATTTTCATTTTAGAAACGTTTGCTTGCTGATCTGTCTACCCTGCTCAGCATGACGAGCTGCAGACCACAAAAGTCACGAAGCCACACAATGGAAATGTCAGCAAATGCGGAGTAAAGCAGGAAATAAAATTACATTTGTATTGTTTTTCCTCTTTTCCCCACAGAGAGCTCCATGAACTCAGACGGTCGGGAGAAAGCTGATCCTCCACCTTCCTCCACCCAGCCAGTTGAAAGACCCCAGGCTCCAGCCAAGCCCGCCCAGGAGCGACCCTCCTCTGTCCAGAAACCAGCTCAGGAGAAACCCCGCCCTGCATCCCGGCCAACACTGGGAACCCAAACAAAACCAGGCCGAAAGAGCTCCGCTACATCCCCAACAAGCAGCCCTACGCTTTCCAGTCCAGTGCCCAGGAAGAGCAGTCCGGCGCAGCCTCCAGCTTCTAAAGCAGCTCGTTCTCTCCCTCCCTCGCTCTACCCCTCCACCTACGGTAAGGTCCTGACTGTGGATCTGTACAGCGAGCCAAACCTCAGCTCGTACAACAGCCAGCGCAGAGAGAGGGAGAATAACAGCAATGTCAGTCCTACTGCAAACAGGCCAATGTCTAGGCCCAGTATAACTGCTTCGTCTACTGCATCCAAACCTGCTGCGTCATCCACACCCAGGCCTACTTCTAGTTCCTCGCCTAAAACCAAACCCTCCTCAGACCATCACAGCAGCTCTAGACCCAGCCTAAGCTCGGGACTCATGCCCAGCCCCATTTCTAGGCTGTCAGCAGGCAAAACCAGCTCTTCTCTGACTCCCAGACCTTCATCATCATCTTCAATATCGTCATCCTCGGCTCCCAGACCTAAAATCAAGATGCCGTCCGACCAGCTGTCGTCCAGGCCGAGCTCCATCTCCAGGCCCAAGACCAGCTCTGGGCAGGGTGATGTGAGGCGGAAGTCTCTCTCCGCAGAGCCCCTCGTGAAGCTCGACCACGAAGGAGTCACCTCCCCTAAAACTAAGAAGACGAAGGCGCTGATGTTGCTGGAAGGTCGTGAAGTTAGGCGAGACCACACCCCCATTAGCACAGCCACAGCCAATCAAAAGCTACTAAAGCCTAAAGTGAGAGCTCCGGGTAGTGAGACTGGTGTGCCAGACAAGGACTCAACCTACAAAGCTCCAATGATGGCTAAAGAGAAGGCAGACAGTCGTGGAGGTAGAGGACAGGAGGTGGACACAAGAGAGGAGAAAGGTAAAAAGGAGGAGAAAAAGGAAGTGGAGAAGAGGGAGGGAAGAAAGATGAAAGAGGAATCTCAGAGCAGCAGCAGCTCAGACTCAGAGGAAGAAGCAGAGAAAGGGAAAATCAAGAAGAAGAAGAAATGCACCTCAAGCTGCTCTTCATCGTCTTCATCCTGCTCTGGTTCTTCCTCATCTTCTTCCTCATCGTCATCTTCATCATCATCTTCATCGACTGACGACTCCTCCTGCAGCTCAGATGAAGAGAGGACTCCTACACCTCCACCAGCCTCAGTCCAGAAGCCTCCAGAACAAGATAAACCTAAAGAAGAAGCAAAAGAAGAAGAAGAGGAGGAGGAAGAGGAGGTGAAGAAAGAGGTTGAGGTGAAAATGGAGGAGGAAGAACTGTCTCCACCACCGCAGTCTCCCTCCCCTTCAACCTCTCCAACAGCTGCTGCTCCTGCTCCCTCTAAACCGGCTAAGCCAGCCACCGGAAAGGGCTCCGGACAAAGGGGTCGTCCTCCAAAACCAAAGCCCAGTGGAGGAGAGGGGAAAGCGGGGAGGCCAAAGAGGAGAGAGGGGGTCCACCTTCCCACGACTAAGGAGCTGGCTAAACGTCAGAGGCTTCCAAGTGTGGAGAACAGGCCCAAAATTTCAGCTTTCCTTCCTGCACGACAGCTCTGGAAGTGGTTTGGGAAACCCACTCAGGTGAGGAGAAAAATCTTTTTCTATCATGTAGGAAAAAAATTAATGAAATGTAGATATCGCTCTTTTCACTCTGTGACCAACATGTCCTTTGTGGCCCCTCCAGAGACGCGGTATGAAGGGCAAGGCTAAGAAGCTCTTCTACAAAGCCATTGTGCGTGGCAGAGAAATGATCCGCATCGGGGACTGTGCAGTGTTCCTGTCCGCCGGCCGCCCCAACCTGCCCTTCATCGGTCGCATCCAGAGCATGTGGGAGTCCTGGGGCAGCAACATGGTGGTCAGGGTCAACTGGTTCTATCATCCAGAGGAGACGAACCCCGGCAAGAAACTCACAGACAAGAAGGTAGAAGTTTGTGCTCAACACTGATCAAAGGTTTATAAAGAAAGACGGCGTTAATGTACTACACTTTTTTTTTTATTTTTATTTTTTTATATAGAGGTTTATAAAAATGTGTAAGTGTTTGAGGAGCTTCCAGCTTTGTGTCCTAAGTGTAAGATTGCTTCCTCTGCAGAACTGGGATCAGATATGCGGACAGTCTTTACCAGCAGCTCTGCACTCTTCCATCCAGAGGAAAGACTTTATGGAGGTGAGGAAAAGTTTTATCTCTGAACTTCAGACTTCATATTCTACTGCTGCTTATTCCAGTATGGGCAAACTGACAAAGTGTACTTAAATGGATTCACAACCAGGAAAAATACAACTGAATACAGCCATAAATAATCCTGTTGGTTGGAAAAGGAAAGCTTCATACAGTGTTCTTTCTTATTTGTAATAAAATAACTTTCTATAAAAAAAAAAATTCACTACTATTTGGTCTTGCTACATGTTTTGCATGCTAGTCTTGAGCCACTGCCGATCTGTATTAGCCAGAACACAATGTTTAACATCAGCTGTAATCCCAAAGCTAGTCCATTTTAGCTAGCATGCTAACACTAACTTTCTTTGCTACCTCACTGTAACTGAGAGATCAATAATAATCGTTTTTTAGGACAAAATAAAATAGCACTAGAAAGAAAAGACAAGTTATATAATAACTCACCGTCACGGCAGATGGCTCCCCCTCCCTGAGCTGGGTCCTCTAGGAGGCTTCTTCCTGTCAAAAGGGAGTTTCTCCTTCCCGCTGTCACAAAATACTTGCTCAAACAGTCTGATTGTTAGGGTTTTCTCTCTATTATTGTAGAGTCTTAACCCTTAAGTCTAGCATGAGCCACTGCTGAACTCAATAACAGACAAGTATTTGATTCTTGGGCTCTTAGCTGTAGAAGTGGTGGCTCGTTTTCTTCAGTCAGGGTGATGAGCCTTTGTTGTTATTTACCATTTATGTGTTAGTGTTGACTTGTCATCTGAATGTGGGCTACAAAAGCAGTAAACACAGCCTGTGTCTGTCGCAGCGCGCCCTCTACCAGTCGTCTCACAGCGACGAGAACGACGTGCAGACGGTCAGCCACAAGTGCCTGGTGGTGAGCGTGGAGGAGTACGAGCAGATGACCCACACTCGCCGCTACGCCGACAGCGAGGACCTCTACTACTTGGCTGGCACCTACGAACCCACCACGGGGATGATCTTCAACACCGATGGAGTTCCAGTCATCTGCTAAAAAAAAAGAAAAGAGAAACTCACTACGAGTTGATAAAACCAAATTGTGACCCGGCTTACTTTGGACCTCACTGGGAAGGAGTCAGTACCCAACCTGTCAAATCACTGATTTTCACTGGCGGTGGATCTTTTCACAGACTCCATGAACAGAACTGCTCTGAAACACTTTAAGTAAAACAAAAAAAAGCAAAAAATTAAGAAGACAGTCATGAACAGCTACTACTACAGAAACTGGAGACACTATGTAGACAGTATTAGAAGAAACGCGTCTCTTGAAACATTTGCACACACGAACGTCATGAACACGCTTCTGTTTTCCTTGTTGTGTTCATGGGAAAGCTTTTCGAACACGCATGAACACTTCGGTCTCCTTTTACAAGTAAAGGCACCCTGTCTAAAGAGACACACGTACGCTCACACGTGCACAAACGCAATGTAAATACAGACGCCATGTGACGCAGTTATATAGAGGACAATAATGAGTGTTTTTATTTTCATCTAATAGATTTATGTCAGAGTACTTTTTTTCTAAAGAGGTAAACAGTCAAGAAGCTTTAATGAACTGTGAATGAAGATGCAGGAGATGCAGGCCTGTGTCAGTCTGTCCACCCCCAAACCTGCCCCCCACCCACCCACACACGCTCCGGCTAAACGGACAGACGGACCCCGCTGGTGTGATGTTGTGATTATGTTGCTGTGGTGATGTTACAGTCATGTTACAGTTATATAAATGTATCTACAGAACAGCAGGAGCGACAGACAAAGAGAGAAGGAGATGCACAGAGAGAGGTAGACTCCTCCTTACCAGAGAGCACCTAAAAAAAAAAACACTTAAAAATCTATCTGTCTTTAATTTAAACGCCCCTCCTCCTCCGCCCACAATCCCCCTTGACAATCCTAACTTGGGCAGACAAAACTGCCCGTGTGCTTCTAAAAACTTCCTGCTCCCTCAGAGACTCAGGCTAAAGAGAGAGGAAGGATCTTGTACTATTAAAAGCACTTCTCATTTTCATCTTTGAGCTCCTTGTTTTTAAAGAGGGGGGGGAGACGAAAAATCCACCCCGAAAACACGCAAACACTAGAAAACAAAAGCAGCTGCTGTGGAAGTGTGCTGCATTTTGTTATTTGCCCGTTTTGTTTCAACGCTTGGAGAAGTGGACCCCAAAGGAGGCGCAGACATGAGATGTGGTGCCTTAAAGGCCTGTCTGGATATTTTTTTTTAAATAAAAGCATCCTGGGAAATGTAGGCCACCTCTCTTTTTACTTTACAAACAAAATGGGTAACCAAGAAAAAAATAAACCACAACACTTGATGAAAAAGGAGATCTGTGAATGCACTGCACGATATAAGCTAATGTATCAGCAGTGCAGGATTCCCAATGGGTGGATTTTTTTCCCTCCTCCTCCTCCTTTGTTTTTTTGGTTTTGTTTTTTTATTTAGGGTTGTGAGCGCTGCAGCCGGTCTGAGAAGCATCAAGGTCATGCCTCTGATATTCGCCACGGAGCTGCCAGCACTCGTTAGATCAACATAATTCAGTTTTAACACTCCTCTTCCGCAGTCTGCAGCGTTTGCAACCTCCAAATGTCCTGCGCTTGGATGCATCTTATTTTATTTTTTTCTTTTGCTTCTGCTGTTTTATGGATGTTCATCGTTTTAGCCTCTTTAATCACATTTTGCCCTACAAGCAATCATCTTTAACAAGAGTGCACTTTGAATGAGCTCCGCTGCAGAGGAGAGTCTTGTATGTTTTCTTAAAGTATTTACTAACCCCCCCCCCCAAAACAAACCTCCCGCTGCTGTCACCGTCTCTTCTCTGCACGCCACCGTTCCCCCGTCAGAAACAAGCAGCGACACATTCGTCTTGTTTTGACGTTGTTGTTTTTTTGTTGTTGTTAATTCTGTGTGCCTCGTTTCACCGTTTTTTAGTGGGAGACTGTTGAATGTCGTGCTCAGGATTGTGAGCATTTTGAGAGGCCTTACTCTCCTAGGCCTTATGATGATGATGATGATGATGATGATGATGATGATTATGATGATTCGCCAAATCTTTTACACCCCCCCCCCCAAAGTCCTGCACCTTCAGGAGGAATAATTAGATATGCTCCCAGTCTGCTGGGAAAACGCCTTCTTTATGATCGTGTTTTGGTTTTGCAACCTATCCAACCGACCCGGAGCTCTTAACCGACTTACTTTGTGTATAATTTGTATTGGATATAACCGTATCTTCTGCATACAGTATATCAGTGTATGTATACATGCAGTGTATGGTAGCTGTATGCTGTATAAACATGTAGGTTTTAAACATGTTGCCCTCTCTGCTTTGCTGCAGAGTTTAAAAATTGTCTTGTTGATATTCAATAGGTTTAATATTTTCTACTCTTGTTGAGCTCTTATGTCTAGATTTGTCTAATTTTTATCGTACCCTATATATCATGTTTTAAGTCACTCTGGAGGACAACCCCACATGTCCCTGTTGTTAATGTGGCAGCAGTGCCAGCACAGTAACAATTCCATATGCATTTATGTATATATATAATCCAGATGTGATAGCCACAGAGTAAAAGAGAAAGTTTGATAATGTGCTGCTAGTTTATTAGTATTTAAAAAAAAAAAAAATGAATCTGGTACAGAGTGAGTCCATGTGCCACTTTCTGAGATTGCTACCATCTTATCTGCTAAAGCCCCACCTGCTCCTGTCGGTTCATTTCAGACTAAAACTCGATGCATTTCTGCAGATAAACGTTTTTAAATGACAGGCAGGCCGAAAGTGTCTCGGCTCGTTGGCGTTTGGATGTGTGGGAGCATCGTGGATACACAGGTCGCACCGGTGTTTGCAGAGTGAACAAGCTCCGTATTAAAGTGCCCGTTATGAATGTTTGTTTACCCCTGGAGCTGCTCAAGCACTTTTTTCTGTGTGTGTCTGTGTGTGTGTGTGTGTGTGTGAAGGACAGAGGTAAGGAGACTGATAAGACATCAAGCTCTTATCTCCTGCTGTCACCACACACACACACTCTTACACACCCTTGTAACCCTTAAAGGTGTGTTTTATTGCCTTCCAATCTCTATTTGCCCCCCCCAATCTCCATCCAAAGCCCAGCCTTAGGCCTTCATACAGGGTCCAACACAAACACAGACACACACTTATTCCCCGTTTCGCCTTCAATTTTTTTTTTGTTTTTATTTTTTTGGTCATACATTTTAAGGGTCTGACTTTGCATATGTTCTGTTTATCATTGTTTGTCTTATTTGGGCTTTGTACTTGATTATTTGCTGTGATTGCTTTTTTGCATCCCCCTCCACACCCTTTTTTTTTTTTTTTTGCAAGGTTCCGGCCCCCCCCCGCTTCCCCTCTCTGAACAATCGTCCACGCCTCTCAAGCAATACTGCTGACTGGCACTGGGAGCTAGCTGCTAGAGAGAGAGAGGAATGGGAGAGAGCGAGCAAAAGAGAGAATGAGAGAGAGAGAGAGAGAGAGGTGGACTGGAGGCTGGTTCTTCGTCTGCTGTTCCTTCAGTATCGTTATCGTCCTGTTACAGAAAAGATTATTTTGAAAATAAATAGAAAAATCATCTAAGTTTTGTAAATGATCCTTCACTGTCGGGGGGAGAAAAAGCTATCAGAATATACTTTGTACACATGTCTAATCTTGTAAAAAATGCAAAAAGAATACATTTTAGAGAGAAATCTGAAACCTGATATATTCTGTCACCCTATACTGTATGTGTAAGGAACTGTTCTTTTTTTCTCTTTTTTTACAGACAGCAACCACGTTTATCAGTGTTTCTTTGAAATTGTTTTAGTAACTCAATATTTTATAGGCAATCAATAAACAGATGGAACTGTATGTCTCTGACTCTCTGATTTGAAAACAGTGTTTTTCATTTGACTAAAGGTGCAGACGCTCGTGTTCTGGAGCTGTTTAATGTTTTCCGACAAATTGATTCATTTTTAGAAACTTAGTTCATTTACAAAGCATAACAACAGGCACTGCTTCGTGGAAGCTGCCATGTTGTCCCGCCATCTTGAATACGGTGGCCAAAAGGGACATCACAGTTCAGGTTAGGCTCGAGTGATTTGATTACATTCTCACATCGAGTATTTTTTGCTAACATCCACTTTAAAGAAAGTTTTACTAACAGCGGCATTTACTCACAGAAACATTCAGGATGTCCTCAACAACTCACCTCTGTAACCTCTGTCACCACCATCGATACCAGTTCAGTATCAGTATTGGAGTCCTTTCCCATAGTTTTACAGCCTCCTCCGTGATAAATAGACATGAATGCTTTTTACCTGGCATATTGACACCTGAGGTAAACGGTGGGCTGATGGCCTACCCAGATAGCAAAATAATCCAGGACAGATCTGATGCAGAGTCACGTTTCTCCAGAGTACACTCCCTACAGATAAACAGTGGCCTGAGTTTTTAATCAAAACTAATAATAAAAATATTTAATTTTTTAAATTTCTGGTTATCTGCTGAGTGCTGATATTATTGAAATACTGTTTTTTTTGTTTTTTGTTTTTTACACAAACAGTAATAGAAACACAACGGCAACCCGTGGTAATTATGCGATACAATCTAAATGTAATATTGTGACTAAACCATGTTTGTCCTACAGTGGCCACCTTAGATAGGATTATGCACTTAAATTAGAGGGGTAAGAAAACAAAACTTAGTTGACTGCAATCTACTGACATCTAGTAGTGAGATTTTATACACTGTACCTTTACAGGGAGTGCAGAATTATTAGACAAATGAGTATTTTGTCCACATCATCCTCTTCATGCATGTTGTCTTACTCCAAGCTGTATAGGCTCGAAAGCCTACTACCAATTAAGCATATTAGGTGA